ATATATTAGTTGGCCAATTAATTTCTTTCTATTTTTATGGTAGAGACGGGGTCTCGCTCAGGCTGGTTTTGAACTTCTGACCTTGAGCAATCTGCCCGCCTCGGCCTCCCAGAGTGCTAGGATTACAGGCATGAGCCACCGCGCCCGGCCTTATTTTCTTTAAACATTTTTTTTTTGTTTTCAATTTTCTCTTTCTCTATTTTTTAAATTTATGAATTTTTCCTTGTTTTTAATGGACTGTGTATTTTAGTAATTTTGGCCATATACGGAGACTCTTTAATCTTCCTGGCAATCATTGCATTTCTTAGAATGCTGTCAACGTCCTTAAATGAGAATATTATATTTCTGATTTTATTCTTTTTTAACTATGAGATGTTGCTTCTACCATAGAGGATTGGAGAATTCCTTTGCATTCTTTCAGGGCAGAGGAAAAAGCACTGCTCCAAGGCATCAGACAACCCTGTGGCTTTTGACTTTGAACACACTGGGCTTTGCCAATGCTCAGCAACTTTGAGAGGAGTTAAAATGACCACCAGCCTGAAAACCATCAGGAAATGCTCCTCATCGCTTATTTTTGACTAATTTTTTGTGTCTTAACTTTAATCTTCCATTTGATCCCATTCACTTTCTGTCTTCTGGAAATATGTATAAATCTGTCTTCTCCAGATGAGCCTCATTCTTTTTACTCTTGTGGATTTTTGTTTATTTTCATTTATATTTCTATTATTTGAGTCAGGAAGAAATTTGGAACAGATGAGAAGTAAGTATATGGCCTAAGGAATCAGAAGCCCACTTCTAGGCTACAACATTTACAAAATAACAGCATTACTAAGCAAGTCTTCTTTGTGAAAGACTCTCTCTCCAGGCAGGAACAAGTGAAGGAAGAACTAAAGGAGAGGTTGGGCTTCTACTCCTGGAATCCAAGAAAAGAATATTCTGACTTAGTAAGAATAGTGTTGCATTGGGCACATAGAAAGCAACGAGTTTCTTCATTCTTAATGTTTTCAGAGTTTTCTCACCTGGTGTGGTTGTATTTCCTCTAGTCCCAGGGGTTTCTGTAGTCGCATTTCCTTGAGCCCTATAGTCAAAGCCTTCCCATCCGGAGTTACATCTTGTCATTCGTCACATACAGGCAATTTTCTCATTTTAGGGGCCAACTTTTACTGCTATGGGTGTGCAGGCATCACCCAAAGGAAATATTTCCATTATCCTCTATCACCACCATGGCAGCACTAGACCAGCCAACGTTACCCTGAGGCAATTGGTCTGATTCTGGACTCTCATGGACTCACATCTGAATTCTGGTAAACTTTTTAAAAACTGGTTTCTTAGTGAAGTAACTTCTTAATCTATTTTTATGTGACTTACTATATCTAGTGAGCTTTAGAACTAATACACCATCATAGATTTGGGATGCAAAGAACATGTTGTGTGGAAGTTGTGATACATCTCACAAAGTAGGAGAAACACACTAATGA